TAGCTATGCATCACAATCCTGTATCATTTGTTTAAAAAAAAAAAAAAGATTTTGGTGTACTACTTCACATAAATGAATTATAATCTCTGGACAGCAGTTCAGAAATCTGTATCTGCAACAAGCACATATGGCTGATTTTGATGCTAGCTCTTGAAGGGAACATGAAATTCGAGATTGCTTAGAAAAGTTGGAAGATGAATCTCAGAACTGTCTATGAAGTACTACTACCTCCCTAAGTAGATGACATATAAAAAGGGTGGAGAATTATAAATAGCAGTGCATAAAAAGTATACCAACATCAAAATTCACCAAAAGTGTGAGATAAAGTTCAATTCCTCTTTCCCCCTCACAAAATAGATTCTTCCTGCACTCAGCCTACTTCCTGTAGGGGCCACTATAGTAGCACTGTTCTGCTACATTACATAGATTTTTTTTAGGAACTCTTCATTCATATATAACAATGTTTCCAAGGAAAAATTGATTCTAATTTCCAAAACAGCATCTCAGACACAAATTTTCAGAGCACTACCAATTATCAGGTTTGAAAACATCCATGTAACTCCTGAATACTAATTAACACTATTAATATGCTAACAGTGAAATCAGCTGGATTATTAGACACCTAGCGAAGGCATGTATTTAAAACCAATAGGTCCTTCTAACATTAGACCATAAAAATATTAAGTCTTTAACAATTTTCCCAAGCAGCATCTAGTTTCTATTATTAAAATTTTCCAATATTTTTAAGTTTATCAAAATTACTGCTTTTTAAATTCTCAAAAGGATTTTTAAGCACTAAAAGCGATTATCTGAAGCTTCACTTATCAATATATAACCAACTTCTATACATAAAACACTGATATGTTGTTTTAAAAATTTCATAAACACCATAGTTAGAGGGATCATACTACCTGATTTCAAGACTTACTATAAAACTAGAGTTATCAAGACTACTGTGGTACTGTTGAAAGAATGGACACACATAGTATCGAAACAGATTACAATCCAAAAATAAACCCATACAATATAAAGTCCAATTTTTTACAAAAGTGCAAAAATAATTCAATGGAGAAAGGATATTCCTTTCAGCAAATGGTGCTGCAACAATTGGACATTTGCATCCACATGCAAACAAAAGAACATCAACCTTCAACCTATACCACACTGCATACAAAAATGGATCAGAAATCTAAATATAAAATTATAAAACTTCTACAAGAAAACATAGGAGAAAATCTTTGTGACTTCAGGGAAGGCAGATTTCATAGATACACCAAAGCATGACTCATGAAAAGTTTCTGCTAAAGTGGACTTGATCAAAATTGAAAACTTTTGCTTTGCAAAAGACAGAATTGGAATAGAAGAAAAAATTTTCAAATCACCTACCTGACAAAGGACTCATACCCATAATATGTAAAGAACTTTCAACACTTAACAATAAGAAAATACTTCAGTAATAAAGATGTGGTATATAGACACAATGGAATATTATGCAGCCATAAAAAGGAATGAGATCTTGCCATTTGCAACAACGTGGATGGAACTGGAGGGTGTTATGCTGAGTGAAATAAGTCAATCAGAGAAAGACATGTATCATATGACCTCAC